AACCCTAAACCCTGAACCCTTTAACTATTTTTGAAACTCTTATGCATCTAGCTTGTGTGCAGGAGATTGTGTGATTGTCTAGGTTCCCCAGTAATGCCCTTTTGCCCTCTTCATTATTGGAATCCCTTCTACTAGCCAATCAGTAGGAAAAGAGTGCCCTTAACATTAAGGGGCTATGGGGACCCCAGTTGGCGAAGCTTTCATGTTTCAGCTTCGGTAGACAGGCTCTTCTATTGCTGAACTGGGCGACCTCAAAAGCAACAGAAAACGGCTGCCCTGCTAAAGATGGCCAGCTGGCTTCGTATCTTATAGTCTATATCATAGTGCATTACAGCATATTATAGTTCGTTATAGATGACCAGCTGGCTTCAAGGCAACCCAGAGGGGGAGGAAGCTGCAGCGATGTGCGACGAGATGCCCCGCAACATGAACCTGAAGTCAGCTTCAGCGGACACACAGGGCAAGCCCACAGAAGGGAAAGTCGCACAACACGTTTGTGTTTGTCTGCAACTTTATAGATTGCATGATTCGTGGATCGCAGAACTACGGTTACGACCTCTTCACAATTTACTCGCAACCACACCCTAGACATCAAACCCCTAAACCCTAAGCCCTAAACCCCAAACCTCTTCATCCTACAATTTATAAGCCCTACTACATTCAAGGCAAGCTGGGCGCCCCGACCTTCGGAAATTCGTTGTTTCAGGCAAGTCTTGCGTTAAACCACGAATGGAACAAGGTCGGGGGTTAACTTGCCTTAAATGGCGGTTCGTGGCCATGTCTTTTCCCAGCCTTTGGCCACGAACTGCCTTTTAAAGGCGAGTTTGACACCAAGCTTCGGTAATTCGCCTTCAAAGGCAAGTTGGACCCCTCGACATTCATGCTTAGGGTTCAGGACTTAGGCTCTGTAAGGGTTCTGAACTTAGGCCTTAGGATGAATGGGTTTTGGTTGTCCTCAAAGCATTGTGTAGGGTTGTCTGCAAGGCATGTGGAAGGTCCGGAAAGTTCTCGGGAAAGAGGCAATAATCGGATTGTAGCGTCCTGAGGGTTTCGGAGTTAAGCTCTAGGGCTTTGGATGTAGTTTTTAGGATTTGGGATTTAAGCTTTAGAGTCTTCTGAAAAGCAGTTTATAAGCCTCAGGATTATCTGAAAGGCATGATGAAGGTCCGGAAAGTTCGTGGGCAAAGGCAAAAATCGGCCTGTAGCATCATTTGGGTTCAGGATTTTAGGTCTAAGGTTTAGGATATAGACTTTATGGTTGTTTATGATTCTGGGCTGGCTTGAGCTTTATATGGCTTTTAACTTTTATGCCTCAGGGTTTGAAAGAAGTAAAGTGGCTGCTTAATGTTGTGCGAATCTGTGGGTGGGTGGGATGATTTCCGATACCAAAGTAGCGAGCTCGACTAGAGACTGCTCGACAGGAGCTGCTGAACCCGAAACCCCAAACCCAAAGCCCTGCGGAGCGCAAGCGCCGAAAGAGGCCCTTGAAAAAAAAGACAGCCTGAAGCCCTTAACCCTAAACCCGAAACAGTAAGCCCTTAAGCCGCCAATCCCAAAGCGGCAGAGCACTCAGGCGAGCGTGGGGCATGGTTTTCACTGCAGCTCTCCAGCAGCGGGCTGCCCACCAGGCGGTTTAGGGTTTGGGGCCAGCTGATTTTGTCTTCGTTTTGGATAGTCATATAGGGGTTTGAGCAATACATCCATAGGGCTTGGGGGGGGGGGCGATTTCTAGACCATGTTATTCTAATAATGAGGTAAATATTGAGAAACACTCAGGAACAGTTCTGTGCGTATTGGGTTTATGGGTAAGCTTGCATTGTAGGTCCAGGGTTCGGCGAGCTTCACAAATCTGTCAGGCTGTCTCGCGGACACCCTGCCCTACAACCTAAACCCTAAACTCTAAAACCCTAAAACCCAACATCCTAAACCCTAAACCCTAAAACCCCAAATCCTAAACCCTAAACCCTGAGCCCTAAAACCTAAACCCTAAACCTGGATGTATCCAGGCTGGTGCTTCGGAGGTAGGTGGAGTACTTAAGCAGCCCGCGCCTACGAGGATGCGATGTTTCGTGCCAAAGTAGTAAACACCTTCACAGGCTAAGCCCTGGAGTCCTAGAGTTCAACTGAGCCCCAAACCCTCAACCTTAAACCCACACCCTGAGCCCCACAACTAGATGGGAGTTTCACAAGCTCCAAACCCTAAACCAAAAGCCTAAGCCCCTAAACAATAAACTAATTAAAAATCGCCCCAAACTCGACGATTAAGGGCCCTGGACCCTGAAGCTGTGAAATCTGAAGCCAACGGTAAGCTCTACACCCCTAGACCCTTAACCCTCACCCCCTTAACCCGAAGCCCCAATCCAATGGTAAGCCCATGAGAGCCCTGTTTCAGGAAATGCTCCGCGTCGTGGACAGCCCAGCCCGTCCCAGACCTCTCGATGCCAAGGCAGTTCCGGCGGTTTAGGGTGTAGGGTTTAGGGGAAAGGGTGCCACAAAGGGATCTACACGGGTTCCTGCAAGGCTTCCTTTAAGCTTTCCTTTAGGGTTTAGGGCTTTAGGGTTCTAAGGGTTTTGGGGTTTGGGGTTTAGGGTGTTTTAGGGCTTAGAAGCCTGAGACTAAATTAAATAGACTAAGATTTGGTGGTGTCGAAGTTTCTACTATAAAGATGTTGGGGACGACGCAAACCATTCATGAGTTCGATGTCTTGAGATTCGCTGGCTTTGCCGATGGCGGTTTAAAGCTGAAGCGAAAGTGCAGTGATCATCCGGCAAACTCTTAATTAACCCTGAAACCTAAACGATTCAGTTAGCCATGAAAGATCTGACCTGGACCAGCTAGCAGATCACGGAGAAGCAGTTGGTAGTGACGCTTTCAGTGGAAAATACTGTTGAGGACTCGCATAGTCCAAGGCCGGCCGCTGGATATTATAAGTTGCCGTTTTGGGGCTTGACATCAGATGTCTCGTGTGTTTGCATTGTTTGGTGTGATGGTAAAGTCTGCTCTTGCTGTCCAAAGGGTCTGCCTGATTTCGAAACCCTAAAACCCAAACCCCAAACCCTAGTTTGGACGTTCAAGGCTTAGGCATTTGAGATTTAAGAGCCGGGGTTGAGTTTAGGATTTAGGAGTCAGGGCTTAGAATGCTTCGAGTTTAGGGTTAATTTACAATTAGGGACCAGGGCTTAGGAGAGTTTAGGAGTTAGGAAGCAAGGTTTAGGATTTAGGAACCAGGGTTTAGGATTTAAGAACCAAGGTTTAGGATTTGGGCTGCAGGGTTAGGCTACGTTAGGCGTCAAGACTATGGTCTAGGTGAAGTCTGTGGCTGCCTCGCCAGCCCAGGCCAGATGAGAGCGGTGCCCCCCAGTCCATGTCAAGCTAGACAGAAATCGAAAAGCACATGAGGACGTAAATCGTTGAATCAAGCCCCCGCAGGCCAAGCCACACATCTCGACCTAAGCACGCGACGAACTTTTGGATTTTGGAAATGAGGTCTTAAACCCGACAAAGGTCTTAAACTGGGTGGGCGGGTCCGGATGCAATGTTGAACCTGCATGCACACCACAACACACATCTCGCACGGTGGTGCGTACGGAACACCCCTAAACATCCCTAAACACTAAAGCCTAACTCCTGCAGCCAGGCATTTGCGGCCGCAATTGCAGAGTTCGAGCGCTTGGGTGACACTGTGGGGTGCCAAGAGCGCTTATAACGGTTTAGGGTTTAGGGCTGTAAGATTACGATTTCGGGTTTGAGGTTCATGCTCGAGGCGAGAAGACCTCCGTCAACCGTTTTTTTGCTGATTTGGTCCTTGAGAATTTAGGCTAGGGCCAAGATTATGCAGAATAGGGCTGAAAAGCAGGGCAACCCCAAAACCGCTAAGGAATGCTATGAGTGTCAAGTCCTTTCTGCGGTAAGCGGGTTAGGGTTGAGGGCTTGAGGTGTGAACTAACACAGGGCTGTTTGATTCTCTGAGTAGACCACACCTGCAGCACGTAGAACAACCCTCAGCAGTTGCCAATAGTTCACCGGCTGTCTGGACGTCTCGCCCTTCACGTGAACCCGACGGCCTTCAAGCCCCCTGAAAGACCTTCCTTAAAGGACCATGAGACTTCGCATTGCGAAGTCCCAGGATCCAGCAAAGTAGACCTCTGCAACCTGCCTTAAGTGCCTTTATGCTCTCGTTCCTTGCCGATTGCAGACCAGAAGGGACAGTAGCAACATGGAGATTGGTAGAAATCTCGCATCCGATTAGCCGTGGCAGTCACACTGAAAGCGTTGACCTGTCGCCGTCCTTCAGCTGTTCAAGCCGGGCGGTTGGCCCAGGTAGAAACAGCACCATGAAGTGGACCAAGAAGGATGTAGGCAGGGAAGGATTCAACCCTCAACCCTAAGCAACTAAGTAGGCAGGGAAATCCGAAACGGCTTGGGCCCAGGCCTTCCCAAATCCTGATTTGGGGCTCGAGGGTTAAGAGATGAGCAGACATATGAGGTACCAAGGGCAACTGATAAGTTTAGACAGAGATGTGAACACCCATGCCCCCATCCCTGACAAGGCACTGGCAAGGCGAATTTCCCGGTGCAGTATGACCTCAGTGGCAGAGTGGAGGTCATCGTAAAGGGCTCCAAGACGCAGGTCATTGGAGACTGTGCCTTCTTCCTGTTGCGAACTTCTTGGACGAAATTTCTCTGTTGCCTGGGCCTTACAGGGCTCTCTTTGGCCTGAATCGTAAACCCATCTAACACATCTAAACCCAAGCCCTAAACCATCTAAACCCTGAGCCCTACACCCATCTCCCATTTAAACCTCAAGCCCTCAAACCCAGACACTAAATTTTTTCTTATGCCCCGGCCAGGAGCACTCATCAAGTTGATTCTAGGTTTTAAGGAGGTCTTAGGGTTTCCTGTGACTCATCATGCTTGCCAGAAGCTAGGAAATCCTGATACTATTGCTGTGCTCCAGTTTGAAGTTGAAGCGTGAACTTGCTGGTGTTATCGTTGTTGTTTTCAATACTGACAGCTGCACTGCTGTTATTCAAAACGGTAGTAACACTACTAGCACCAGTCAGACTGCAATAGTGATGAGCCTTCCTGCACATAATAAAACCGTACAAAACCCTGAACCCCAAAACCTTGCGGTTTAGGGTTCAGGGTTTAGGGCTTCGGGATATAGCGACCATTGAAGCTGGTAACAGCCGTGCTACTTGGCAATCGCGATTGGCCGTACTTGGAGGTTCATGGGTTAGTTATAAGCGGGGTTATAAGTTATAAGTCCCCTAAATAGGGTTATAAGTATAGTTACCCTACTTACAATCAGACCTCACTTTCCCAGGTCTCGTGGGGGCGTCCCTTGTCAGCAAGTGCAGAGAACTTGTCAGACGTGATGAAGGTACGAGCACGATCATAGCTGCAAGAATCATCAGAACAGGAGTGAGTAAAATATCATGACCAGTGATATCAATGATACTAACAGTAGTAATTTTCGCAGGGTGCCTCGTCCAAGGGGTGGTGCCAGCTTACGGAGAATGAAAGCCTGCAGGATGCCTAGTACCCATCTGCGGACAATTTGACAAAGTCCTTTGTTGACTGTATGTTGCCATGCAGTAGTTGTCACAGGCATCATGTGGCAATAGCTACGACCACTCTTCGCTGATGATGACGGTGATCATGATGATGGCGTTGCTAGACTGTGCTGGGTGGTGTCCCTGGTGGCTGAGTCCTACCTGGGTCGACAGAGCTTAGGTACTTGATCTTGATTCTGTTCTTTGCGCTGCCTGGTCAGCACCGATCCTTTTGTCCCAGCTTGGTTCACCCGCTTGGAGGATCATGGGTAGTTATAAGTGGGGTCATAAGTGGGGTAGCTATAGTTACGACCCACATTAGGGGACTTATAACCCCACTTATAACTACCCATGAACCTCCAAGCAGTGGGTTGTTTCACTGAAGCTCAGGCTGATTTACTTGGCCGAGGCGGATGGCATGGTGTGTCTAATCAAGGATGAGCCGTGTGACTTCTGGGACGCGTTGAACCTCTCCGTCCACAGCATGTCCACCATCGGCTTTGGTTCAATCGTCCCGCAGTCTGCTCTCACACACTCAGCAGTTGCCGTGGAATTTTGGATTGCAGTTCTTATGGGTGCTGGAGCCGGAGGTCTGCTTTTCTCCAGGGTCAGCACTGCCAGCAGTCGAGTTGCTTTCTCCGACGTTGCCTTGGTAACCAACATCCGCGGCTGCCCGACGGTCACTATGCGGATCGTCAACGAGCGGCCGTTTAGTTCATTGTTCGACGTGACGTGCCGGGTCAGTGCCCTCGTTAAGGACCCAAAAGCTGGCATGCGGATCCTGGCTCCTTGTGAGCTGGAGCGCAGCACAAACATGATGTTCCGTGCGGAGCCTGGCCTGCATTGATCTTTTTGACATGTTACTGCTGCAGTTGTTGTTGCTGTTGCGGTTACTTCCGGAGGACGAGGAAGGGGGGAGGGTGAAACCCTGAATGTTGCTGTCGCTGTTGCTATATATTGCTGCCGCTACTGCCGTTGCTGTTGTTGCTGTTGCTGCCGTCGCTGCCGTTACTGCCGTTGCTGGTGCTGCCGTTGCTGCCGTTGCTGCCGTTGCTGTTGTTGCTGTTGTTGCTGTCGCTGCCGTTGCTGCCGTTGCTGTTGTCGCTGTTGTTGCTGTCGCTGCCGTTGCTGCCGTTGTTGTTGTTGCTGTTGTTGCTGCTGTTGCTGTTGCTTCTTCTGTTGTTGATGGTGTTGGTGTTGTTGTTGTTGTTGCTGCTGCTGCTGCTGCTGGTGTTGTTGCTGTTGTTGTTGTTGTTGTTGCTGTTGCTGTTGTTGTTGCTGTTGTGTTTGTTGTTGCTATTGTTGAAGTTGTTGCTGTTGTTATTGTTCTTGTTCTTGTTCTTGTTAT